CCTGCAGGCTGAACCCAGACTAGCCCCCTGCCATGTGCGCCGGGCGGGGGGGGAGGGGGTCAAGGGTGAGGTTTAGCTGGTCTGGATTATGAGTTCAGTGTCCACTAAGTCCACTCTTATTTTTGTTGACAGTCGTGTCGTTGTCCTCTCGTCCACAGCCAACCCAGAGAGCTTCGGACTCTACTTTGTTCTCGGGGTTTGTTTCGGCCTGGTGCTGACCCTGTGCCTCCTGGTCATCCGCATCTCCTGTAAACCACGGACCGCCGTGGCCTCGTCCACCCCTGAGAAGAAACAGTTGAAGGACATGAGTGACGAGGAGGAGAGTGAGGACGATGATGAAGAAGAAGAAGACAACGACGGTGAGGACGTGGAGGCCCCCGTCCTCGTACCCACCACAGAGACCCCCCTGGGCAACCACAACAGCCAATCGGACGGGATGCTGAGTGTCAACGTCTTCACTTCGGCCGAGGAGCTGGAGCGAGCGCAGAGACTGGAGGAGAGAGAGCGCATCATACGTGAGATCTGGAGGAACGGTCAACCGGACATCCTGGGCTCGGGGACCGGGACCCTCGGGAGAGTCCATTATTACTAAAACCCTAACAGGACCAACACGGACTGTTGACGGGACCTGGCGTCCCCGAAGCCTGGCGCCAACCTGTGTTTGAGACACAAACGACAAACACTGATGAGCTCCGTTTGATCCAATGGGATCTGACGAAGTTCAAGACTTTGCACTTTTTTCATAGAGGAACTCTATTTTGAACTGATGTCATGGACTTCTAACCAGAACTATTCTGAACTAACAGAACCACGTTGTCAGTGGGAGATTGAAAAGAATATTTAAAGTGTGGTAACCCTAACTTGGGGGGGGGGGCAGTAGTACATTAACTGATTGAATTAAAGTTTGAAGTTAACGGGAACATCGTTTGCACTCAAATATTTTATATTTGTATGATGTTATAATAATGTATAATAATATTCAAATTTACCTTAAATTCAGCCAGTCAGTAAGGGGGGTGGGGGGGGGGGCATCTCCTAGAACAGCCAGAGCACCTGGGGAGGCGGCACACATCTGGAAACAGCCACATTTCAGTAAGATTAATTTTTTTTTTTTTTTAAAGTCTTGTCATACACAGCACACCCTTCAGAGAACTTTAAATAACGTTGATTTACATTTACAGGTGATACATTCCCACTATTTTTTTTTATATATAATTCATAAAATGTTTAAAATGAACTTGTATGTTTTAACTTGATGTTTTAAAAAAAATAACCCGGGCCTGATAACAGTACCGTAGAACTGTTCTACCTGCCGTCTCTGGTGTAAACGTCTCAAAAGAATTAAAGAAACATGAACGCTAAAAAAAACGTTTCGCTGCTCGTCTGTTTTTACCCTCGAACTAAAAACAGGCAGATTAGGGATCAGAGAAACTCAACTGTCTACAGTTGGTTCTCTTGGCCAACCTGGTGCCACGAACTTTAGTCTGAACTCCTGGTTCAGGGACAACATTTACGTTACTAGAACTTTTTCACAAGTTCACGTGTGGGCGAGGGGTTCCACTAATCTGCCGCCGATGGTTTGAGGACGTTGTGAAATGCAGTTTGTGTGAATGTCTTACCTTCAGTGTCAGGTGCTCCATCACCGGTACGCATACCATAGATTGAGAACCCGTGTGAGATCACGACGTGGAGTTGTGAGTTTTCACTGTAAGAGAAGAAGGAAAAAGAAAAGTACTTCGTCAGTCCTGTGAGGGAAAACTTTGTTCATCACTACCACGACAGCGTCAGACCCTACTGGTGAGTTACAGAACTACACAGAATTCATTAATGTATTGCATTGGTGAGTTACAGAACTACACAGAATTCAATGTATTGCATGTTTGTGACTAAATTATATTTTATCAGTACAGTCTGTGTGAAAAAAACATTTTTTTTGGTGAGTAACGCCCCCTCTGTTGCAGAGATGAAATGTCACTGTGTCTAATTTTAACTCCGACCTCTGAACTTTCAAATGCCTCAGTTTTCAGTTTTAAGTTCCCCCGGCAGCGTTTCCCTCCTACTTGGATTCTCCAACATCAATAGTCTACTGTGTGGATTTCTCCGACCCACAGCAGGGCCTCGGACCAGAGGGTCGTCCACTTGTGATTAATTCAACGTGTCCCTGAGACCAAAGATGAGCACTTTAACGTAACTGGTTATTTTTAAAAAAAAATTATTTTATCCAAAGTGGATAGTGCCTCTGCCTTAGCAGCAAAACGGTCACTGGTTTGATCCCTGAAAATAGTTAATTAGTTCCTGCTTCTGAATCATTTTCATCATCTGCAACAGGCAGTTAAAATACTTAACCAAAAGGTGGCAGCAGTTGGTTATAAAATCCCAAAAGATCGTCAAGTCTTCCTTCAATTCCTGTGAGTATACAAGTGTTGTGTTCAACTAAACAAACTCAGGTTTAACCCCGAGTCAGTACGCTGAAACTAAGACTTTTGTGTTTGGTGTAAAAACCGCGCCGTGGCTCAGAAAGCGTTGGGAAACACTGACCTGTAGCACATTCCTGTGTCATGTGTCCAACTGTGGTTCTGCTACGAGACATAGTTGTAGTTTCTTGGAGGGATAATCAGACTCCCACCGCTCCTCCGTCCTGCTACCGAGACCTGAGAAGAAGCAGCAGAAAAAGAATGAAGTGAGTAAGAAACTGAAACCTTCTTCAGTTTGAATCCTTGTTTGTTTATCGTGTGTGTGTGTGTGTGTGTGTGTGTGTGTGTAAGACTTTCACCACAGTTTTTAAAAATAGTTTGTTCCCATGGCAGTTGGAGGAGAACCCACTCACTGATGAGGTCCAGATGTTTTCCATATGCTTCTGGAGGAGGCTCCGCTACACATCAGGCTGAGGCAAAAACACGGCACCGCCACGACCACCAGGAGGCGCTCAGATTGACTGATTAAAATTACTGATAACTGTGATGCAAATCTTCCAAAAATTTTTACAATGGCTGCAAGGAATTTCATTTTTATTATTATTATATATTTTTTTCTCCACTTTTACAGTTACTGCCACCAGTTCCATCCCTCACCGCCATCACTCATGTAAAAGGATGGACCAATGGCGCCTCCCAGTGGTTCGTAAGGCACAACGTTATAATGAAGCACCACTTGTTTCCATTCAGTGCTCCTTGAGGGTAACATTAAATTAGAACACAGATTTCCTTTTGCATTAACCAGAATATTCTCTCCTATTTACAGGTGAATATATTACAGCCTCTGCCGAGTGCAAAGGTAAAACTGTATCAAACATTCATTAAAAAAACTGTACTACAAACAAGGCTAAAATCACCAAGCATTACCCCCCCCCCCCACACCCACCCCCC